CCGGCCCCCAGCGCCCCCCAATCTGCTTCTTGCGCATCCGTGACGACGGCTCAGTGGACTGCGCGCGGGGCCAGAGTGTGCACAGTTGAGTGTCCTCTGGGCCCCCACCTGTGCCCATGCGCACCCCGCCCCAACGACCCTCCTCCCCGTGCCCTTCCTCGGCTCCCACAGGTCGTCCCACTTAAGGGAACCGCGGGTTTTGGCACCTTGGTGTTAAATTCCCTTGCCCCTGGACAGTGCGGGAGGTCGGGAGGACTACGGAAGCGTGGACAGACTGCGTCCACGTGGTACGGGCTTGCGCTCATCCGCTTCTTGCTTTCCCTGCATCCAGGTTTGCTGGAGATCAAGGCAGTCGCTTTGCAGACCGTGGCCATCAAAGGCGTGTACAGTGTCCGCTACCTCTGCATGGACGCCGACGGCAGGATGCAGGGGCTGGTAAGTGTCCCCTGACGGCGGCATGCGCCCGGGCGCGTACCTACACCTACCCCTGGGCATGGGAGTCTGCAGCGGGAGGAGGTGCCGAATGAAGTTTGGGATTTTCTCGCCTCCTCTGACTGGCCCCACAGACAGCTGTGAGAGGGAGGATCGCAGGGGCGCATTAACCTACTGACTGACTTTCTTCTATGGAAATCTGTGGAGCCAGTCAGGAGCACGAGAATGGGTGAGAGCCGCCTTTGCATTTCCAATGGAGCGAAAGGCGGGCCCAGCCGGTCGGGAAACCTATTATTCGGTTGTCTTGGATATTAAACAGCAAAACCCACCTCGGGCCTTTTCAGCCTCGGCCTGTGGGTGTGTGGTCCTAGCCTGTCTTTTTCAAGTACAAGAAAGAGAGAAGAGATTAAGGGCACGTCTGTAAATTGTATATCTTTTTAAAGATACAAAATCTATTTGGGATCGGGAGATTACTTAAAATTAACATGTCCACTAAGAAAATGGTGTGGCTTGAGATGCAGATATGTTAGAATAGCCAGTGGGTGCTTTACCTCCCGCGGCTCACCTGGAAGGTAAATGGGGGGTTAGGGGAGCGAACTGAGAGGGCCCAGGTAACCGCAGATGTCCGGGGACAAAAAGTGCGAATGCTGGGGCTCTGGTCCCCAGGAACAAAGGCAGGCAGTTCAAAGGACTGAGCCCTCACCCCTCCCTTGACTCCGGCACACAGCGGAGCGGTGTGAGGTCTCTGTGGGGCAGGGCCTCACACGCAGCGCCCCTGGGTTCCAACTGAGAAGCAGGTCTCGGGTGACTGAGTCTGTCAGGATGTCCCCGCCCCAAAAAGATGCAGATCAGGACCACCTTTGGCTCAGCCAGGCCCTTTGAACCGTGGGCTGAGGCATTTCAGGCTCAAAATTATTTTGTGGCTCTGATGTCCCTTTATTCAGAGTGCCTGTGTCAAGCTTCGCAGCGGCACTGAGTCCTACGTGAAAGGACTGCAAAGGAGAGGGTCAGCTTTCAGCAAGCGCCTCCATCCTAACCTGCCCTCCTAACCTGTGGGGAGACTCATTATTTTGACATTTACATAAGAAGGAGGGAGCATTGGGTTTAAGATGTCATCCTGCCCTAATTCTAACTGGGAGGAACCCTTAATAATGTCCTTTTTAATCCCACAATCTTCTAGAAAACTCGAAATCATTTCATTTCCTTCCAAAGAATGAGCAGAGTAAATCTAAGTCTCTCACTACTTCTTGTCTATCAGTTTGTATTTTGGGGATGTTCAGGAGCAATCACCTGCCTGGTGGCTTTGTCCCAATATGCCATGGGCTTGGGCAGGAGTTCTGTTTACCAGTTGGCTTTTTGGGAAGTTCAGGAGACACTGCCCCTGCTGGGTGGCTTTGTGCCAGCCTGCCATGGGCTTGGGCAGGAGCAATGGATTGTTGCAATTAGACTCTTATCGCCTTATCTGCACATTGCACACCCACCTACAGTTCAGCGACCTTTGTAGACACGGGGCAGAAATCAGACTGAATATGTCCTGAAGTTGTGTTTACCTCTCTGCGTTCCCGGCTCCCTGCCTCAAGCTGTCCTCTGTGTCCCCAGGGAGTAAGCACTTACCAGTTTGGGATAGGATTCTAGCACCTCTCAACTCTGCAGACTAAGGATGTTCTACCCTTGGGGACCAAGGACTGGTTTCCTTCAGCACACAATTCCGGCCACCCGCTGGGTGCAGACCCTGTCCTGGGCATGGGGGGAGGGGACTGCCCTTTATCTCTATGTTCTGGGCAGACTGCCTGGAAGGAGCCAGAGGGGAGCTGATGTTTCTTACCACTGCATATGACCCTCCCCCTCAAAAAAACAAACAAACAAACAAAAAAACACTTCAGAATTATTATAAAGGTTCACAGTTATTTCTGGTCTAAATGGTGAAATGTCTTTGTCTAAGCCTCAGTTCGGATTACATGTAAGACAACCTAAAATGGCGTGGCTTATTTATTTTGGAAAATACCAATGGAATACAGCAAACTTTTTCTGAAAAATTATGTATGCATTTATATTTTATTTATTTGTTTAAATTTGACCATATTTAAACTTTTAAAAAATGTCAGTACTTATCGCAGGTGGCGTGGTGGTTAAGAATGCCGGACCCCCACATGACCGACTGCCATTTGAGTCCTGGACCTGGTGGCTTGCTTGCTCTCTCTATCTCTCTCTATCTCTCATTCTGTCCCCCCACCCCCTTGTTCAGTCCCTCTCTGGTCAAATTTAAATAGATAGATAGATAAATTAATAAATAAATAAAATAAAGTTCAATAAAATGATTCTTTAAGAAAAAATTGACCAGAGAGAGAAAGGGAAAGTGAGGAAGCAATCCACCAGGTTCGAGACTTGAACATGGTCGTCTATGTGGGAGTTCGTTGCTCCAGCCACCATGCCACTTGTCAGCCTGACAGTAAACTTTTAATAAATGTCAGTACTTATATATTTAATGTAAAGGGGAGGGAAACATGGATATTATGCTGCTATAGGTGTTACTGCTTAAGAAAAGAATGGAGTTTAAAAAAAGGTGATTCAGTGGGAAATAGTAAGGCTCTGTATAAAGTGTATGTATACGCAAGTTAAATGTATACATAAACAAAATATATACCTGAGGGGTGTGTGTATATAAATACAATAAGTACACACACACACACACACATGTATATGTATATATATATATAGGGTAAGATATTTAAATGTATGAACATAGAATATGTCACTATAATTATATAACTTATATTTATAGTATACTACATATTATACAATGGTTTCCAACATACGATGGTTTGACTTACAATTTTTTTGACTTTACAATGGCATGACAGCCATATGCATTCAGTGAAAACAATACTCTCAATTTTGAACTTTTACATTTTTACAGGCTAGCAATGCATGATTAGCACTATTTTTTCCCAATGCTGGGCAGCTGCAGCAAGCCATTTTGTTTTTTCCTTTCAGTATTGTATTCAAGAAATTAGATGAGCTATGCAACACTTAATTTGTGTTAGATGACTTTGCCAAACTGTGGGTTAATGTGAGTGTGCTGAGTGTGTCAAAGAGAGGCTAGGCTGGGATGAGCAGTTAGCGTAATGGCTATGTCGCCGGACTCCCACGTAGTTGACCTTTGTTCGTGTCCCAGACCCGGTGGCTTAAAACTCACACCGGGCGCGTGTGCATGTGTGCCCAAGATCACGAGAGGAGAATGGAGGAGAAGGGATTGCGGTGTGGCTATCCCCCGTGGGGGGTGATTTCTCGCTTTCTGTCTCTCTGTCAGCGCAAGCGCCCTATAAGAAAAAACCCCCAAAAAAAAAAAAAAAAAAAAAAAAAAAAGAGAAGCTAGGCCAACTTTTGTTGCATGGGTTAGGTGTATAAAAGGCATCTTCCACCTAATAATATTTTCAACTCATGATAGATTTATCGAGATATAGACGCTTTGTAAGTTGAAGAGCATCGGTATATATTTTTATATACCAAATGTACATATCGCATGTTTATTATACATTTGGCATATTCAAAGTATTTTTTTCTTTTTTTAAGAATTATTTTATTGGGACTGACAGGTGGCATGGTAGTTAAGGGTGCTGGACCCTCACATGGCCGACTATGGTTGGAGTTCCAGATCTGGTGACTGCTTTCTCAGTTTCTCTCTCTCTTGCTCCACTTTGATCTGAGAGAGATGGGGTGGGTTGCGGGGAGTGAGAAAGCAAGCCACCAGGACTGGGACTTGAACCACAGTCAGCCATGTGGGATTACAACACCCTTAACCACCATGGCACCTGCTGGCCCTAGCATATTCAAAGTTTATAGAAAATGTGTTATGGAAAAAACTGCATGGGTTTAAAAAATGTTTTGCATCAAAATAAACTTACCCTTAAACTCCATTTTCCCATAAACTTTTTAATAATTGTATTTATTATCTTTTTTTAAAAATTTGCTATGGGAGGGACCAGCAGTTAGCGTAATGGCTATGTCGCTGGACTCCCATGTAGTTGATCGTGGTCCGAGTCCCGGACTTGGTGGCTTAAACTCACACTGGGCGAGTGTGCATGCATGCCCAAGAGGAGAATGGAGGAGAAAGGACTGCAGCCTGGCCATCCCCGTGGGGGATAATTTCTTGCTTTCTGTCTCTCTCTTTCTGGTGAGCGCATGTGCCCTATAGCAAAAACCTCTCCAAAAAAAAAAAAAATTGCTACAGGGGGTGTGCAGTCACAGGAGTGGAGTTGGGGGGTAGTAAGAACAAGCTGTCAGATCCAGGACCTGAACCGTGGGCAACCATATGGGAGCCCAGCACCTTAATCAGCAAACCAGCTGAAGTAACCTCACATATACAAAGTCTATGTAAGGATCCTTGTTTCTGTAAAGTATGGGAGTGATACTTGGTGGCAATGGCCTCTGGGGACAGTATGTCGATGCCCACGAGTGCTCATGTTTTTCTCTACTGCTGATTGGTCAGACCTAGGGGTGTACCCACTGGTGCTCACAAGCTGCCTGTTTTTCCACAGCCCCAGTACTCCGAGGAAGACTGCACTTTCGAGGAAGAAATCCGCTCTGATGGCCACAACGTGTACAGGTCCAAGAAGCACGGCCTCCCTGTCTCCCTGAGCAGTGCCAAGCAGAGACAGCTGTATAAGGGCAGGGGCTTCCTGCCCTTGTCCCACTTCCTGCTCATGATGCCCAAGACCTCAGCAGGGCCTGGAAACCCCAGGGACCAAAGGGACCCCAGGGACCAAAGGGACCCTGACACATTCTCGTTGCCCCTGGAAACTGATAGCATGGACCCATTTGGGATGGCCACCAGGCATGGGCTGGTGAAGAGTCCCAGCTTTCAAAAATAACAAGGCTCTGGCGTCCCCCATGTCCCTGAGGACCAGGACACCAAATCTGAGTGGGCTCTGCCGTGCATCTACAAGAACAGTCTTGATTCCATGTCCTGTTTAGCTTTAGGAAGAAACATGTAGAAGTTGTACATATCCAGAGTTGTGCATTGGCTGTGCCCGTGTCTAGCAGATAGACTTGTAAGATTGTAAATTGTAAGCCCTCTGCCTGCCTAGCTGCTACCTGAACCCCCCACCCTGTCCCCTGTAGTTGCTGGACAGTTGCTGTGCTTCCCTGGTCCTACTGAAATATCTCCACCGATGGGGAGTTCTCTCCCTTTGGAAACATTCTTAGGCCAAGGTGAGACTCTCTCATTCTTTCTCAGCCTTGGCAGCAGGGTAACCAGGAGACATGCAGTCACTTTAAACTCGTGTACAGGTGACCCGCTCCATGGGGTAGTGGGTAAATCCAAGCTGAATGCATGTCTGAATTGATCCGGGTCCCAACTCCATGGACTGTTTGCTTCCCATACATCGCTCCAGGCCAGAACAGACTGGGGACAGTCATGGCTTACCAGGCTTCAGGAGTTGGGGAGGCCCAGACCCCCTTCTCAGCCCTGAGAGATCTTGAGAACTACTCTTGAGGCTGAACTGCTTGTGGTGGTCTGCTCCAAGGCAGATAAGACAGTTCACCCACTTTCCCTATTCCTCTCCTTTTTTTTTTTTTTTTTAATTTTGAGAGACTGAGAGTAAGAGAAAGCACCCCCAGCAGATCCGCCATACCACAGTCTACCCTTAGCCTCAGCCCGGATACCATTGGCACACTAGCATCCCGTGTGTGGATGTCGTGTGATGGGGCCTTAGCAACAGAACCCAACAGGCCACACCTCCACCTGAGCTCCCCTTCCTTTCTTTAGAGTTAGGGCTACTGACCTAGCTACAGGTCACCTGCTCCCACCTCCCATCCTTAGCCCTATGCCCATACCCACCTCCACCCTGCCCCCACCCCCGACCTAACCAGTCATTGTTCTGGGGCTTCCCAGCCAGTCGCCCCACCATGTCAAGCCGCACACCTTCCAAAACCAGAGGAAAGATGTGAAAGCCCCAAGTCTTGCCAACAGCCAGCAAAAGCATCCAGGGAAGGTTCTTTCCTGTACTCAGTTCCAACTCGATATTTATGAGTAATTTATTTTGATATGTACATCTCATATTTTCCTACTTTTATTTATGCCCTGAATTATATTTATGTATGTACATGAGGTCTGTTTTCTACATTAAAACAGTTTGTACCAAAAGTTGCGCTGTGTGGTCCAGCTGGGATGTCTGAGAGGAAGTCCCTGTCCCCTGAGGGGACTCTTCCCGTGACTCGTCACTGAGGTTCAAGTGGGTTAACTAGTAGGTTTAGGTAGAGGAGGCTGGTTTGGAGCTCACTACCCTTCATGCCTGGGTACTTGCTTCCTCACCACCTTCTCTGCTAGAGGTCTTAGCAGTTGGAGCAACTTCTGCCAGGAGCGTATTCAGCTGCAGGAAACCAACACCAGCATTGGCCAGAGTCTGGGCAGCTCAGACTCAGCACATGATCTTTGCAAGGCAGGCCTTCCCAAGCATCACAGGATGTTTAAAGGCATCCTTGACGGGACCAGCAGTTAGTGTATCATAAGGGCTGTCGCTGGACTACCAGGTAGTCGACCGCGGTTCGGGTCCTGGACCCGTGGCTTAAACTCACACCAGGCGTGTGTGTATGCGTGCCCAAGATCCTGAGAGGAGAATGGAGGAGAAGGGATTGTGGTGTGACCATCCCCCCTGGGGGGTGATTTCTCACTTTCTGTCTCTCTGGCTCTGTCTGTCTGGTGAGCGCAAGCGCCCTATAGCAAAAACCTCTCCAAAAAAAAAAAAAGCATCCTTGGCTTCTACTAGTAGATGCCAGTACCAACTCTAGTTGTGACAACCAAAAACAGCTCCAGAAATAGCTGCATGTCCTCGCTGAGGAGAGGGGCCAAAGTCATTGGTGGGGAACCACTCGCCTAAACAAATAGGATTGCTTTTTGCCTGGTAAAAATCCAGAAGGGATCATTGTTCACGGCCTAGGGGTGCCCAGGCTGTGTTCTCTGACTCGAGGCGTCTGCATGGTGCTGTGGGTGCAGTTCAAATGTCTGGTCAAGACAGAAAGGGAATCATTGTGACGTTGACTTACCAGGAAAGCCAAAGTGTTCTTGGAATTATACAGCAAATTCTCTAATAGCAAACATCCTAGGAGCCAACATTCCATCATGGGGCCACCCCCAGCTGCAAGGCAGTCTGGGAAAGCAGGTATTAAGTGGGTTACATTGGTATCCTGGCCAAACAGAGACTGTGAGCAAGGAAGAGGCGGAGAGTACAAATAGGTAGTCAGAGGTCAACAAGTATACTGAGCCAAAAGGTGCAGTAAACATGACCCTAGGGAGCAGCAGATGGTATAATAGTTGTCCTGGATTACTACGTAGTCGACTGTGGTTCAAGTTCTGGACCTGGTGGCATGTGTGCCCAAAATCCCAAGAGGAGAAAGGAGAAAGGATTGTGGCAAGGCCATCCCCCCTGGGGAGGGTGATTTCTCGTGTTCTGTCTCTGGTGAGCACATGCATCCTATAACAAAAATCTCTTTTTTAAACATTATGTAAGTCTTTATTTGTTTATTTTAATTTGAGCAGAGAGGGACAGAGTGAGAGAGAGGGAAAGTGAGAAAGCAAGCTGCCAGGACCAGGACTCAAACCATGGTTGGCCATGTGGGAGTCCAATGCCCTTATCACCACGCCACCTGCTGGCCCCACAAAAATCTCTCTTTAAAAAAAAAAAAGAATCATGATTCCAGGGCCAGCTCCCTAATCTAGTGGTTCAATGAGCTGGATCTCACCTGGCCATCATGTCCCCTGGCAACTTGAAAGACACACCTACTGTGTGTGCGTGCACGCCCAAGATTCAACAGGATGGAGAGATGGAGAAGATTGCAGCATGATCATGCCCCATTGACTTTTGTTTTCTCCCTCTCCCTCTCTCCCCTTATCTCTATGTCTGGGGAGCATGTGAGCCCCCTGGCAATTAAAAAAAAGTAAAACAAAAACATCATGATTACAGGTTGCTAGAGGTTAGGGATCTGGGCGGCGGCAGTGGTGGTGGTGGTGGTGGTGGTGGTGGTGGTGGTGGTGGTGGTACTGTTCTGAAAGGGCAGCTGGGGAGACCTTGGCAGTGATGAGTCGGTTGTGAATTTTGACTGTGGTAGCGGTTGCATCGAATCTACACATGTGATAAAAATAACAGCCACTGGGGCCAGCAGATGGCACAGTGGTTAAGGTGCTGGACTCCCACGTGGCTGACCACGGTTCAAGTCCC